GTGGTTCCTCTGCTCAGACTGTCGGTTTTCGTTTGCCTGATCATGTCGCTAATGCTGTTCGTGGAGAGGCTGTATATGGGCGTCGTCATTGTTCTCATCAAACTTCTTGGGAGAAAACCAGAGAAGCGCTACAAATGGGAGCCCATGAAAGACGACATCGAGCTCGGAAACTCTGCTTATCCCATGGTTTTGGTTCAAATCCCAATGTACAACGAAAGAGAGGTAACCCATTAGCCCAACGCCAAAATTCCAAAAACAGACCCAAATTTGTTAATGGGTTTTATTTCAATTTTCAGGTGTATCAGCTTTCAATTGGGGCTGCATGTGGCCTATCCTGGCCGTCGGATCGGATCATCATCCAAGTTCTTGACGATTCCACAGACCCATTAATCAAGGTAATAAATTTAAGCAAGAAAACAGAACATTATTCCGGGAGAGTTGATGAGTAATAATTGATGATGTAGGATTTAGTGGAAGTGGAATGCCAAAGATGGGCCAGCAAGGGAATAAACATAAAGTACGAGATAAGAGACAACAGAAATGGCTACAAGGCTGGGGCTCTCAAGGAAGGCATGAAGCGCAGCTACGTCAAGCAATGCGATTACGTTGCCATTTTTGACGCCGATTTCCAACCGGAGCCCGACTTTCTTTGGCGCACTGTCCCTTTCCTCCTCCATAACCCCCAAATCGCTCTCGTCCAGGCCCGTTGGAAATTTGGTACGTCTCTATTACTCTACCAAAAACTATTCAATATAGTCATTTCTTAATATTGGTTGGATGCATATAATACATCGACTCTTAAATTATATTTACTAACGAGTTAACCTGATTAGGTTACTGTGAATGTGTATAGAAATTTATTTAGCCAACATAGATTAAAGACATGATGGCAACTTTTTGGAGGTGATTAGAGATCATTAAACAGTTAAAACTAATAATTGAGGGGGAGAGTTAGTTGGGATTTTTATGGGAACTAATTAAGGGAGTTTAAAAGTGTCGGCGGGTCTGATTAAAGAACGACCCAGCAATCTCAGTCTAATGTAATCCACGCTGGTCGTCGTTGGATTTGACACGTGTAATCTTTTCTTTTTTCGAAACTAGCTTTTTGGCGCCGGGGCCCACCGTGCAGGTGACCAAACCTTTTAAATAAAAAAATTTCCATTTCCCTTTCCCTTTCTTTTCTTCTAATAAAGAAAATAACAAAACAGAAAAATCAAAGGTAGGCCAATTTGGCTTGTATCGCTTGAATTTTCCACGTTGTTAGGATTTGCTTGGCCAAATCCGGAGGCCTTTTTCCTTTTTCTTTTTTCTTTTGTCTAATTGTATATATTTTATTGTGTTTTCAAACAACAAAACTTGACTTTTGATAAATTTAGTATCGTTTATTATTTATTTATGGTTAGGTTTTACATTTTTATTTATTTATAATGATTTTGTTTTCTTTTTTTAAATCATGCGTAGGCAATAGTCAATTTTTGGTTCCCACCCCTCCATAATGGACAATTCTGGTGGGAAGGTTCCTTTATTGCCAAAAGATCCACTTCCACCCCTTTTTTTCTTTACTACAATGCCCCTTAAATTCCTCCTATTGCAAAATTAGGCCTCTTGATTTCACTTTATTAATCTTGACGTTTTCTTAAATAATAAAAGAAAGGATGAAATATTTAATAAAATATAAATGTGTAGGTAGATTGTATGAGGCATTTATGATGATAGGAGTCATAAATAAGAGGTAGAATTATTAGATGAGCAGGTCCTGTAGGATGCTGTGGCAACCACAAGAGTAAATAAATATATTGGGTGAGAACAAAATTGGTCAAAAACCGAGTAAATGAGCTCTTAAATTCCCTCAAAAAATAAATATATGACATTGACACGTGTTGAAAACGTCCATTAAATTAGCATTTGGTTTTTTGGTTTATAGAAAATTATCCCTTTTTCCTTCTCCAAAAAAAATTCCATGCTTGAAAAGAAAGTTTTGAGGTGAGACAGAAGAGTGAGATACTGCAAGAAATGGTGTGAGAAGTGAACGGATGAAAATTTTCGTAGAGTATTAAGCTCCCTTCTATTTATCTAATAAATAAAACGAATAGGCCCTATAATATTCTTGATACAATAGTGATATGATAAGTAGTAAATAGAAGGGAGTACAGTAATCTCGTAATACGAAAATTTTCGCATGAACACAGGGGCAGTGGACAGAAAGGAAATACCCGACAGAAAATCTAGGCAAAATGTCGAGAAGATAAGAGGATGTGGGAAGAACAAAGAGAGGAGAGAGTAAATTTGTAGCAATAATATAATAATAGTAGAATGGGCCATTTCCCTTCCTGTCCTTCGAGATGTTGTATTCATTTTTAGCTGTTCATTTCTGACACACATATCATTTCCCATGGTTCAAGTTCCACGTCTTAATTTTATATATATCAAGATCAAATTTAGAAAAAGGAAAATATAAATTTTATGAGAGAAATGAGATTTATTTGGGCCGGCAATTGCATGTGCGAGTGAATGGTGGGGCTGGGTCGGGTCCCTTCCGGGTCTGGGCTTTAATAGAGAACAAAGTGGATGCCAGCGGCAATAAATTATTTAATAAATAATAAATATTGTGTTTTGAATTTGCAGTGAACTCCAACGAGTGCTTGATGACGAGGATGCAAGAAATGTCATTGGATTATCATTTCACAGTGGAGCAAGAAGTGGGCTCCTCAACTTACGCCTTCTTTGGCTTCAATGGTAATAAATTTACTATTTTACATTTACCGATTCCGGAATAATTACGAATGGGCAAATGACAAAATTTTGTTTTCTTTTGTGGCAGGCACGGCAGGTGTTTGGAGAATTGCCGCACTGAACGAGGCCGGCGGATGGAAGGACCGGACCACCGTGGAGGACATGGATTTGGCCGTCCGTGCCAGTCTCAAAGGCTGGAAATTCTTGTATCTCGGTGACCTTAGGGTAATTATTACAAATTTTGGATTAAATTGAACTTGAATGGAACCAATATCATAATATACTTTGAACTTTTGCAGGTGAAAAATGAGCTGCCCAGCACACTCAAAGCCTACCGTTACCAACAGCACAGATGGTCCTGCGGGCCTGCCAATCTGTTCAGAAAAATGGTCATGGAGATCATCAGAAACAAGGTAATTAAAAGTAAAGCTCTTACTCTTCCAGCAGGCTGCAGTTTCATTGATCAAAGATACCGACAGACATGAGTTACTATTCTCATTACAAATTAGTTTTCAGTGTASTATCAAATCCCAAAATGTTCAAACTAGGGTCCGGTCCATGATACGGGACCTGACACGGGATTGTAACAGACATGGATTACTCCTCTTGTTACCCTTTGGTTTTGAGATGGAACCCATGAATTACGATAGTGTTATGTTGTGTTGCAGACAGTAACAGCGTGGAAGAAGGTGCATGTGATCTACAGTTTCTTCTTTGTTCGAAAAGTGGTAGCCCATATCAACACCTTCGTATTCTACTGCATTGTGCTGCCGGCCACAGTGCTGGTGCCGGAAGTCGAGGTTCCCAAGTGGGGAGCTGTATACATTCCTTCTATCATCACCCTTCTCAATGCCGTTGGCACTCCAAGGTCTGCTCAGCTTTCTTACAACTTTTACCAATCCATGCCCCATGGGACAGCGCAGAGGCCCAAATTAAGCTATGTTTTTTGCAGGTCGTTTCATTTATTGGTGTTCTGGATTCTTTTCGAGAACGTAATGTCACTGCACAGAACCAAAGCCACAATCATCGGCCTGCTGGAAGCCAGCAGAGTAAATGAATGGATTGTTACTGAGAAATTGGGCGACGCCTTCAAGGCCAAAGCTGCTGCAAAAGCACCTAAGAAACCCCGCTTCAGAATTAGAATTGGAGACAGGTAAGAAAAAGAGATATATATATCAACAAACGCCAAAATGAAATATCAGATTCAGATATATTTTGTTAAGATATGGTTGTGTGTTTTTTGAATAGGCTTCACCTGTGGGAGCTTGGAGTGGGATTTTACCTATTCTTCTGTGGCATATACGACATTTTCTTTGGTAAAAATTACTTCTTTATTTTCCTGTTCATCCAAGCCATAGCCTTCTTCATCATGGGATTTGGAAACGTGGGCACCTTCGTTCCTTCTTCTTGATCGGAATCGAAACCCCTTGTATTTTTGACCAAGTCTGTGAATATTTGTCTGGAAATTAAAGGAATACTCGATAGTTACAACCTCTGCACATTGTTGCTTCTGGGTCTCTGTTATTATTTGTATTATTGTTATTTTTTTTTTTTTACCCTTCATTCATTATGTACTATTTTACGTTTTATAACATGAATAAACAGTTGGGAAATGAGATCATACTAGTGACATGTATTTTGGTTCCAGTGACTCTTCGCTGTAATGTAATGTCTCTCTCTTTAATCATTCTTCTCCTCGCATTAAGCATCACATAAAAAGGTGAGACATTTTCAAGTGTTTTTGAATTTGTATAGTTTGAAGTTCAACTTATATTCCGGTGAGGTTTTATGAATTTATTAATTCAAGTAAATAATGACATAGCAATTGCTTTAAAATGGTCTTGTTTAATCTTCTTAAACTAGTGAGAGATAGCCCACATACTGCAAACACTTTGATATTATCTCATAAGTCATGATTCCATTACCATCCTGCAATCAAACCGATGATGGTTATTACACTACCAATCTTTTAGTTGTAACAATTAAGCCTTAAATCATTACAAGTAAAAAAAATTGGACCTTTAAACTTTCAATGATAAAAATTTTAACTCACCGGGGAAACTACTGTTGTATAATCCTGATTTTGCTACATTTCCTCCCCCATATNAAAAAAAGTGAACAACTTTTTCAATTATGAAATTTTAGGGTTTAAATTGTACATTTAAAAAGTTTAAGTTAGTGCAATTTCTGCCCTCATTAAAGAATGAGGGTTTAATGTTAAATATAGAATACAATTTTAGAGTTTGAGTTTTACCATAGTGCAATGGTAACAATCAGTTTGTACAATTTGTCCTAAAAAGAAAAGTAGAAATTTTTTTACGAGTTAAATAATAATACTTTATTCATAAAAACTATCCTCATGGGGCTAAATAACCTTGTCAATTTCTTAAGTACATGTCAGAATTTGAATCCTCAATAGAAATAGTAGATACATCTACAGCTCAAGAGAAATAGTAGAGCCAAATAATAACTTTACTTTATACATGTTATATCTTGGGATGATAGGGCCTTGGGCTATAATAAATGTTACTTCAAATTATCCATAGATATCATTCGTGTCTTAAATAAGTTGGGCTTGGGCCTCTGCTCTGCAACCTAATCAACATTTCTTTCAATTTAATAATTTGCAGGTAAATTCGAATTTCTAATTTTTGGTAAATAATATAATATATCTCGTTGAATCATCTCAAATACCATTTATTAACTATTTTATTGGTTTCTACATACATAAGTACTTTTAAAAGAGTCCAACAACTAGTAAAACAAAGAATCCAACAACTAGTAAAATATCACCCGTGCCCTGGATCCAAGAATATGCATCGTTTATACAATTACAAAAAGAAAATCCTGAACCCTAAATCTTATAAAATTTAATAGATTTTAAGTACAAATATGAAAAAAATATATAAAAACCATAGACACTAAACCTTGAATACTATAAACTCCAATAAATTTGAAACACAAATATTGAAAAGATCCTTCAACCCTAAAAAATACTACTGAAGAAAAAAAAAACTTTAAATCCTAAACAAATAATTAGAAAATTTGGGATTTTTTTTAAACAACCAGATAAGGAAATAAACCAAAGTACAAAAACAAATTAAATTCAAATCATACAAATGAAATCAATTGTAGTTTCAGAAAAAAGAAATGATAAAGATAAATAAAATATTTTTTTTAGCCCAAACAATATAGTAAAGATTCAGGAAAATGCCTTAATTACCCTTGATAGTTGGCAAAATAAATAAAATAGTATAATAGTATATATAGTCGGAGATAAATATCTTTTACGAATTAAACTATGATTAATGATCTAAATGGTGTCCATGTTCAAGAACCTAAACATGAAAAATATTAGAATTAAAAGACAAAATAGAAAAGGAGGGCTGTCACATGAGGCTCAGTCTAGATTTCCAATTGCCTAAGAGACAAAATTAGTACAACAAACTTCAACTTCATGTGATTCGATTTGATGCAAATTCACATGGATCTTCTCTAGTGAAATGCCTAAAATTAATGATAACATCTTGCACGCCAATAATGATCATTTTTCGCACTCTTTTAACTAGAAATGATAAATAGTTACGTTTTAAAAAAGATAAATTTAGTGGAAACAAGTTTAGAGACATGTAAAAGTTCAAACGATAATCTAAAATTCTAATATCACTTTAAATTCCTCACTAAACTTAAAAGTTTAAACCACACCAAAGTTAAATGGTATATAGATTTAATCGTATCTATATATATTTATTGTTACTAATTATATGTATATAAAATAGCTCAATTAATTAGATAATTATTTTCAACTAGGGGTGATAAAAAAACCTGACAACCCGATGAATCCAGCCCGAATTTATTGAGTTGGATTGGGTTGGTCCAAAAACACCACTAACCCGACCCAACCCAACCCGTGAATATCTCTATTTCCAACTAAAAGTTTTATTATTGAAAATAATAATAATAATAATAAATGCAGGAAAGTGAGAGGCAAAAGACAAAAGGCCCAACATCTAATAGGAGATGGACCATATAAATATAACTTGATGCCCAAGCATTGATAATAGGTCAATTGGAATCCAAATTCTGCATGGCTGTCCCACCAATATCGTTGCCTTCAAACTTGCCACTTTTTACCTTGTGGACCAAATCTGATCGTATTTCCTTGGCTTTAGCTCTTCTTTGATTTTCCATTTCCAGAAATGAAAATCAAAAGATGAGTTCTACTTCTACACAGTGATAGTTTCAGAAAGTGAAACTCCTCTTTGAAACTTATTTTATATTTTATAAGTCGTTTTTTGTTTTTTGTTTCAATTTTGTGTTACGTAACTTTATTTTGTTAAAGTTGAAGTTATACTTCAAATGAGGAGTTTTTCTTCGCGTTGTTAAGGTTGAACTTAATTCGTATGTGACGAGTTTCATGTCTGTACAACTATATATATAGTTGTTGTTTTGTTCATTTGAGATACCTAGGCATACTACAATTGGGTATTCTCCTCCTCTCACAAAAATTCTCTATTCTTTTGAGTTGTTGTTCTCGTTTGTGTTCATAGCAAGTATTTAAGAGTTCTACCAGATCCGAGTAGTTTGCAAGGTCATTGCTGTTCTATCGGAGTTAGTCGTTGTAGTATGCTAGCAACTTATGTAAAGTGAATAATTATCTTCATGTAAGCGTTATTGAAACGTACATCGACTATATTTATCAATTAGATTTACTCTTCACAAACAAACTTGGGATTTGCAATCCCAGGTAAGATCGGTGAGATCCTTTTGTATCAGATAGGAAGAGATGTTGCACAAAATGTACTTGCTCCATAGATCTTATATCTATCTATATGAAAAGAAATCATGTAATGAAGGGGGTTCTTATTTGTACAAATGGTACTTCGAACTTGAAACAAGTACAAAGAAATTAGTGATACTTCTTTATCTTTTGAGTTGTTCTGTCGGCTCGGTCCTTCAAGACCTTTGGTCTCTACCTGGACTTGATGAAAAAAATGGGAAAATTTTGGTGTTCAAGTTGTCAAAATCTATATCATTTGTAGCCAGCTACGTCGTAATCTATTTGTCATTGCTACACAGTTTATACATAAGACGTATGTTTAGCCAACATATTTACTCATTTGAAAATTTCATTTGTTTTTTGTAGTTTGAACCTTTAAGTTAGCACGATTTGAATTTTTAAAATTATAGATATCAGTTGTTTTTATTTATAATATAATCAATATTTAAATAAGTTAAAGAAAACGCCAACGAGATAGTAAAAAGTAAAAAAAATTAAATTAAATTAAAAAAGTAAGTCATAGACTCTCTACTAAGCGGACTGTATGGTCGGAGGCGGAGGATTTGTGCGGCAAAGTTGGAGTTTGAACCTTGTGTGCACCGATGGCACGTAGTTTTCGCCGCCCATTGAATCCCCTCTCGGTTTGTGTTCCCCGTTGGCTGAGCGTTTGGTTTTACATTTAACGTGGGCGTCACATCAAAATCACAGCGCCAATCGCATCCATCAACTTTATGAGAAAAAATAAACAGAATATAACTTGAAAATTTAAAAAAAATAAAAAATAAAACCCCAAATTGGATCACAGCGATGAAAAATTATTACAATCACACAAATTTCATTTACTATATTTTGTCAAAATCCACCCACCCCAATTACATGCCTTCACCATTCACCTTCAAGCTTTCTTGTTGACCAAATTTGTGGATATTCCAATATGCCTTTTTTTCTCCAATTTCTCCACTCCTTTTTCCTACTTTTCGTACATATTTTGGTATACAGTCAAAATAAACACAAAATTTCTCACCCTTTTCTTCTTGTAGGGACAAAAAGTTATGGGATGTACAATTATTTAAATCAACTTTAATATAAATTGAGGAAATAGAAGGTATTGAGACTAACTTTATACCTTTTGAATTTCCACCCATATATTTCTTCAACTTCAAGAACAGAAAAAAAGAAAGAAAGAAATAATGGAATTTTAAGCAGATAGATTGTAAATTATTATTATTATTATATATAGTGGGAATCATATTTCTAATATTTTGTATTTAAATGCACTGATGATGCTCAAAAGGCATGCGTGGCCCGTGGGTGCTCTCGTCACTATACTTCTTTTTTTAACAATACCATTTTCCTTGCTCTCTTCACTATTTTAATTATAACTTCAACAGATTCCTCAAAAAAAAAAAATTTGTAACTTCAAAAGAAATAATAAAATATATTGTTTTAAATTTTTCATGTTAAAAAAATGAAATTATTTCGTGGTTTTTATAATACACTGTTTCGAAAATTCACAAACTCTAATAATATCAAATTAATTGACTCAATTCTAAAGTATTAAAATTACATAAAAAATGTTGAGATATGGGTTGAGTTGACAATATTATATTATATATATAAAAAACATTATATAAATTAAATAAAATTAAACTAAACGTTTAATGAAATAATAATAATTCCATTTTGTGTGGTGTGTAAATCTACGCAGCGGGGAAGTTAAAAAAACCTAATGTTAATCGAACGGCTGAGATTAGCTGAGCTCATCTACTAATACGAGGCGTTTGTCCCTTCACAGACTGCAATCAACCGCAACTCTATCGACTGCTCTCTGCTGCTCCCATTTCTCTTGTAGATCTTAACTTAAGAA